CCTCTGGATGTGCACTACACACATACACACACACATAATAATTTTAACATTTGTTGTGTATTTGTTGTGTTTCAGGAACAGTTTGAAATGCTTTATGTCCATTATGTGTAAATTATACAATTATTCTCCATTTGTATATGTAGAAGCAGAGTCATAGAGAGGATAAAATAGTTGCCCGAGCATCAGAGTCAGGATTTGAACTTAGGTAGCGTCATTTCAGAGTTTCTGGCGTCTACCACCCTGTTTACTACTCACTGGGGAATACATTAGCTAGTGCTTGCTCCTTTCTCTAACTGCCTCTTCCTTACTCTCTGCTGCAGGTAGTGGGAAGTTCCCTTCTCTTTGTGCATGACCACACTGGCCTGGCCAAGGTATGGATGATTGACTTCGGCAAGACAGTGGCCCTGCCTGACCACCAGATGCTCAGTCACAGACTGCCTTGGACTGAGGGCAACCGTGAGGATGGCTACCTCTGGGGTCTGGACAATTTGATCTGCCTTCTTCAGGGGCTGGCCCAGAGCTGACGTCATCCACCACCGCTAGGCCTACTTGCAGGGTAGCATGTGTCGGCTGGAAGAGCCCTAAGAGGTTGTCTGGCCCGAGGCTGCCGATGGAAGATGAGGCGCTTCAGAGTGTCAGCAGATCAGCGTGGCCTGAGGAGCTTGGGGGTCCCGGCAGCACTGGGCTTCCTTACGATACGGGAAACAAGACAGGTGGAGGCGTAGATGTGGACATGAGCGGGGCCTCTTGACCAGCGAGGGAAGCTTCTAAGGGAGTACCAGAGGCCACAGCTGAAGAATGAACTCTTCCCTGAGGTAGCTCTTTGAGCGCAGAGCCAGCAGTTGGCTTTTGTTTCCCAGAGGACCAGGCATCATTTGCAAAGGCCTGCAGGAGCTACTTGTCCAGCTGGGCCAGTGAGAACCCTATCCGAGTGCTGAGAGGAGGGTGTGACATTCTGAGATACTTGCTTATGCTACCTGAGACCTAATGCTCCTGCATGGGGCCAGTCTGTCCTCCTCCCTGCCAGGACAGGGAAGGATCTGTTCTGTTCCTTTGTGGACTCTGAGCTACTGCAGACCCAAAACACAGCCCATATCCATCTGTAACAAAGCTGTGATCGTCTTCCTTCCCTGGTGCACCAGCTCCAGCCTCAGGACTTCCTCCTCCTGGTCCTGACACCTAGGCTCTTGTCCCAGCAGTGTCCAGTGACAGGAAGAAGTTTCTGAGGCACAGGAGGAGGCTTCTCCTTGGGAACAGCCTTGCTTCACTGTATGTGCTCTGACCATACACAGAATGAAGTGCCAGTTTACCCAGAAGCACAAGTAGGTGGGGCTACTGTCCCTAACCATGGACTACCTGGTCCTAACCAAAGACTCTAGAACTCTGGGGTGGGGTCGAAACCACTCTCTGTCCCTGTGCTCCAGCACTGCTCCAGAACCTTGGCTTCCTGGCCCATGCAGATGGGCTTGGTAAGGACAAGAACCTACCTCCTCTCTAAGCTGAAGCCCTAAGGTCTTCCAAGGCCCACACGTCTTCCTTTTCTACTGACTTTATATATAAATATATATACATATATATTTATATACGAGGTAGTTAGCTGGGGTGGTGGTGTCAGGGAATTGAGGCAAAATGGCTTTACTGTGCCTCCTGCCTACAGTAGCACCCCAATAAACAGGACAAAATCAATGCTGGGGGTATTTTCTTGGCATCTGGGTATGTGGCATCTGAGATTCATACTCTGGACCGTCATGCTAAGTTATCAGTCACCTTGGGAGAGTGAGCAGGCTGAGGAGGTTCACTACTCATTCAAGACTCAGAAATGCCATTGTTTTTTCTTAGGTTAATAACAACAACAACAAAAAAAGATTTAGCTGGGCAGTGGTGGCGCATGCCTTTAATCCCAGCACTTGGGAAGCAGAGGCAGGCGGATTTCTGAGTTCGAGGCCAGCCTGGTCTACAGAGTGAGTTCCAGGACAGCCAGTGCTATACAGAGAAACCCTGTCTCGAAAAACAAACAAAAAATTTATCACTGGGTGGTGATGCATTCTTTTATCCCTGGCACTTGGGGGGTGGGGTGGGCGGGGTGAAGGAGGCAGAGGCGGGTGGATCTCTGAATTCAAGGCCAGCCTGGTTTAAGAACAAGTTCTAGGATAGCTTGGGCTACAGAGAAATAGTTTTGTAAACTCTTTTTTTGTAAAATCTTTTGTGTGTGTGTGTGTGTGTGTGTGTGTGTGTGTGTGTGTGTGTGTGTGTGTGTGTATGCTACATGTATCTCAGTGCCTAAGGAGGCAGAAGAGGGCGCTGGACCCCCTGCCCTCAGAGCTAAAGTTTACAGCTCTACCTGCCTGATTTGGGTTCTGGATCCAAACTTTGCAAGAGCAGGGAGTGGTTTTAATTGCTGAGCCATCTCACCAACTTTTTTTTTTAAATTAAAGACAGGATCTCACTGTGTAGTTCAGGTTGTGCCATCTCCCCAACCTTCTCCCCCCTCCCCCCTTTCTTTCTTTTTTTTTTAAATTAAAAATAGGATCTCACTGTGTAGCTCGGGTTGGTCTGGAACTGGAGGTCCTCGTATGTAGCCTCCAGAGTGCTGGGGTGACTGTGTGCCTGGACACTGTCACCATACAGCTCCCCTAGAATGCGACCTTTTGCTGGGAGCTGGGAGCTGGGAGCATTGTAGCCACGCAGGCTTGCTTGCCCTTCTGAGCAGGCGCACCAGGTATCTGTCATTTTCTCTACAGTAGTGAAGAGCTGATGCCCTAGAAGAACACTCCCTATGATTTACGCAAGAGTCTCGCAGAGCTCAAGTTGGCCCTGAACTTGTCATGCAGTTGATGATGAGCTTGACCTGTTGTCTGGCTTCTGTGTTCCAAACGCTGGGATTATAGGCCTGCGCCACCATCCCAGCTTTGGACAGAATGTAGCATATTCAAGGTTAACTTGTACTGCTAAAAGACCCAAACACACATCGTATTCTTCATCCTCACTATGTGGAAGGGGATGCATCCCGGGGACTCCTTAAAGAGGAATGATATTGGAGCCAAGATGGAGAAGTTAGGGGGAGTAAGGTTAAAAAATTTATTACATTTGAATTTTTGTGAGTGTGAACGTGCATGTACCACAGCAAGCACACAGAGGTGAGAGGGCAACCTGTGGGAATCGGTTCTTGATCTGCCACATGGGGCCCTGGGTCATCAGGCTCGCTTGGCAAACACCTTTACCCAGTAAGCCATCTTGCCAGCTCAAGGAGAGCGATCACCATATTCAGCTCAAGGCTGTCATTGGCACCTACAGCCTCAGTCTCTGAAAGGCCATCACAGCCGTCGGCTACATGAGAACAGGCTGAGTGTGCCAAGGAGAAGGAAGCTGGGCTAATTCCTGATCTGTGAACAAACTTGGGGATGGGGACAAGCAGGGGGTCCAGACTCATGAAGGTGCTCGGTGAACTGACAGTGTCTTTTAAAATGCCCCCAAAGAAGGACCGATGGATGTCACATTCAGGTAGGAGGGTCTGAGTTATTACCAAGAGCCTTCTAGGCTAGGCATGTAGGAACACACCTTTAATCCCAGTACACGGGAAGCAAAGACAGGCAGATCTCTGAGGTTGAGGCCAAACTGGTCTACTACATAGGGAGTTCTAGGTCATCCAGGGCTACATAGTAAGACTGCTGTTTTGCTTTTAAGACAGGTTCTCACTATGTAGCCCTGGCTGGCCTAGCAGTTGCTATGTAGACCAAATTCAGAGATCTGCTACCTCTACCTCAGTGGCTCTCAACCTTCCTAATGCTGCAACTCTTTAATATAGTTCCTCATGTTGTGGTGACCCCAAACCATAACATTATTTTCTTTTTTCTTTCTTTCTTTCTTCTTCTTCTTTTTTTTTTTCTTTTTTGGTTTTTCGAGACAGGGTTTCTCTGTGTAGCCCTGGCTGTCTTAGAACTCACTCTGTAGACCAGGCTGGCCTCGAACTCAGAAATCCACCTGCCTCTGCCTCCCAAGTGCTGGGATTAAAGGCGTGCGCCACCACTGCCCAGCTCATAACATTATTTTCATCATTACTTCATAACTATAATCTTGCTACTATTATGGATCATAAAGTAAATATATTCTCTCTGATGGTCTTAGACAATCCCTGTGAAAGGGTCTTTTGATACCCAAAGGGATTACGACTCTGTAGTGAGAATTTTGGTTTCTTTGAAAAACACAGAAATATTATGTGTTCATTTTAAACTCAAGTGTGGCATATGGGGCTGCTTCAGATTGTCCACACCAGCTGGGATTTGCCTCGTGCTGTAACAGGGGTGTGGTTTTGCCATCTGCAAATAGTTCCTGAGACTGTGACCTTTGGAATTTTAGGGAGCTGGAGAAATGGCTCAGGGGTTAAGAGCGCTGACTGCTCTTCCAGAGGTCCCGAGTTCAATTCCCAGCAATCACATGGTGGCTCACAACCATCCGTAATGGGATCCGATGCCCTCTTCTGGTGTGTCTGAAGACAGTAACAGTGTACTCACATTTAAAAAAAAAAAAAAAGAATTCTGGGGACTTTTCAGAAGTTATATAAATGTCTAGGGCCCTGAGAGTTGAGGGCTGTTGGTTGTGCTTTGTTAAGTAGTAGTGTGCAAAGAATAAACAAGAAGAAATCAGGGGGGGCTGGAGAGGGCCGGGCAGTGGTGGCGCACGCCTTTAATTCCAGCTCTTGGGAGGCAGAGGCAGGTGGATTTCTGAGTTCGAGGCCAGCTTGATCTACAGAGTGAGTTCCAGACAGCTAGGGCTACACAGAGAAACCCTGTCTTGAAAAAAAAAAAATTAGGGGGGCTGGAGAGATGGGTCAGTGCTTAAGAACACTGCTCTTCCAGAGGTCCTGAATTCAATTCCCAGCAACCACATGGTGGCTCACAACCATCTGTAATGGGATCTGATGCCCTCTTCTGGTGTGTCTGAAGAAAACAGCTACAGTGTATTCATATACATAAAATAAATAAATAAATCTTAAGGGGGGGGGGAAGGAAGAGGACATTAGATATCCAGACAGCAAAGATCAAACTTGCGCCAAGGAACTTGACACCCCTAATCAGCAGTAAGTAGTTGAAGGATAATGCAGCCCCTTCCCTCTATCCTTTTCTCTCTGATCTACCTTTAGGGGTTGGAAAGGTGGAAGGAACAACAGCATAGTAAATGTCCGGCTGCATGACCCACAGGTTGAGAACTGCTGCTGTACCTTCTGAGTGCTCGGCTTACAAGTATGTGCTCCCACTCGCAAGGCAGAGATACTGCTTTAAAAAAACAAAAATCCTCCACAAAACCAAGTCTCCCTTAGCCAAGGGAGTGCTTGATCCGGAGGTGATGAGTTGAGACTTTGGACAGTGGTCAGGTTTGTGACTCTCTGTATGGGGTGATCTAGTCAAAGATTTCTGGGCAGGCGGTCTTCAAGACACTATCATCAAATGAAACTATGGACTGAAAATGTCACATGAGGGGCCGAAGCATTCTAATGTTGATGGAGTTAAGTTCCAGGCAGGTGTCCCGGCCCCAGCTAATGGCTCCCCTCCTGTGGTCTGAGCAGCAGGGCCTGGCCACAGAGGCCAGCCTTTACCCCACCAGCAGGTACCACGTACAGCCGTCCATCGGCAGCCCTTGCAGGGGCGAAGTCTGTCAGCTGCAGGTTGCTATCCTGGACTTGGCTGTAGTCCCACAGCTGGTAGTGCCAACTCTTGCCCTGCTTGGAAAGAAGGAAGATGGCCCCTGGGGAGCTTTCCTCTGGGAAGGATGGTGGTTGGTGGGGTGCACCAGGCACTGGGTGGAAGAGGCCTGGCAACTCAGAGTCTTCAATGTAGCCAGGGCTTGGCACATTCTGCACACCTATCAGGACCCCTGGGGGACAGGAAGAGGATGTGAGTTGCCTAGGTTACAATCAGGTGCCAGGGCAACCCTCTAGGCCAGGTGCTGCCTTGCTACCACAAGGTTAGGAGGACTCAGTGGGTATACAGCAAGGCCTCTGGCTTCCATGCCTCCGGTATTTGAAGTCCTGCCTCTTATGGCACACTGAAGATGGAGACAGCATTCTAAGGAAAAAAACTCAACATTTCCAGCTGCCCCAGAAGGACCCCCCTCTTGTCTCTCCCTCCTGCTCCCTCCCTAGCCCCCCAGAGAACCACTCAAGGCCAGACACACATCGGGAGGCCTGGCCTGATGCACACAACCCGCCGTCCTTCCAGGCAGGTGAGATGAGGATAGTGCTGGTGACAGAGACACACCCACAATCAACCGTGTCCTGTGGGAGCCAATGCTGAGCAGGCGGCTGTAAGAGGAGACAGCGTTGCCTCCGCTAGTGTCTGTGTGTGCAATACCCTCTTAGGTTTAAGTGTTGGGGCCCTGGCCTACAATCTGTGGTGCTATTCTGGAGGTGGTGGAACCTTGTTGGAGGAAGTGCATCACTAGGGTGGGGCTGAAGTGCAAGTGCAAGCTACACTTCTGGCCAGAGCTCTCCGGCGGCGGCCTGGTCTCCCAAGAACTAAGGAGCTGCGTTATCCCAGGCTCCTGCCATCATTGGAACAGCCAGTAGCTGCCATGTCTTTCCCTCCAATGAGGTATCTCCTGAACCATGAGCCGCAGAAACCTCTCAAGGTGCTTCTGTGAGAAAAGCTAATACACCTGCCCCAACTCCTTAATTTCCAGATGGGCAACAGGGCAGAGAGAGGAAGAAACAGGCAGGACTAAGAGTAAAGAGGCGGAGGCTGGGCTGCTCCTGGAGCCTGTATTCCCCAGTCTGTGCTCTGAGCCTGTTTCGGGAACTCTTAATTGGCAGGTGTTTGAGGGACTTGATGCCTGCTGGGCTTTTTGCTAAGTACGTAGGGGAAAGAGGGCCAAGCTGCTGTTTGCACTCAGCACACGGCCAGCACTGTCAGTGACACATGTGAATGGGGTTAAAAACGGACGAGAGCTCTAGGGAGCAGCAGCATGGGGGGGGGGAAGGTCTGGGTGGGGACAGTGACCTACCTGCACTCACTGCCCAGTGGGCCTTATGGCCTTTCTTCTGACACGGCTCATGGTTGAAATCCTCATCATAGCTAGAGCTGGTGTTAAGGTCCAAACTGTGCTGTGGCACTGGGCGCCACCCTTCACCATCCCTACCCTCATCCCGGCCCTGGACACCACCCTTCACCATCCCTCCCCGCCCCCAGGCCCTGGGATGCGGGATGAGCAGGGGATGTCCGGCCATGAGGTGCTGTAGAACTTGATCCCTGTTGGGGCCGCCCAGGCCACCACACAGGAGCTCAGCCTGGCAGCCCAAAGTCTCCTGGGCCAGTTTGGCCATGTCAGCCACTGGAGAAGGAAGAGAAAGAGAGGGAGGGAGAGAGTGTGAATAAATAACTCAATAAATATATGAATGAGAATCATTTCAAAAGGGCTTATCGTTGATGTGAGTGCAGAAAATGAGGCACAAGCTGGGTCTGATGTCACAGACCTATAATCCCAGTGATTTCAGAGGTTGACTTAGCAGTGTCAGTTGTTCAAACTTGGCCTGGGCTACCTGGTGAGTTCAAGACCTGGTTGAGAAATTTGGAGAGCCCATGGCTCAAAAGAGAAAATGAAAGAAATACATTGACATGGCTGGAAAGAGCTCAGTGGTAGAGCCTCTGCCTAGAATCCCCCAGTGAGGGGCTGGGGGCGTGGCTCAGTGGTAGA